TTGTTTGTGGTGTGTGTTGTTTATGGTGTGTGTTGTTTGTGGAGTGTGTTGTTTGGGTTACAATCTTTTCATAACGAGAATAACACTACCAATAGTTCCCATCTCACTTCAGAATGCTGTAAACCGTCTACTAGTCTTTATAATCGTTATTTTTTTTTCTTTTTCAGTTCACTCACAAGTTCAAAAGATAAAGTTCTAACGTTTATTCCAGTATCTACGTTTCTTTTATTCTGTTTTCATATTTATTTTCGTTAACTTAGTTTTTTTTTTTCCTTATACTCTACGGCCTACGCTAATGCCTAAGGTCTTTTTTGTTTTGTGTCTTGATATCTGTAAGGTCGAATTCTTAGGTCTTTCACTGGCTATGTTGCGGTCGCTTTCTTTTAACCATCCCAGTAGTTGAGAGAGAGAGAGAGAGAGAGAGAGAGAGAGAGAGAGAGAGAGAGAGAGAGAGAGAGCGTACCAAACTGTTATTTGCTCAGTGTGGAATGAGTCCTCTCTTCTCTATACTTCAGTTGATTTAGTAACCGACCCTGCCATCTTCCCCAGCGACTAGGTTATATGTGGTATGCGACTTAAATTACCCTCGTAGTTCCTTTATTGATTGTGATTTTTTTTTTGCCTCATCTTATTATTATTTTAGACATACATGCAGACCAATATCACGTTAGGTATTTTTAATTTAACTCGGAGATATTAATCGTTGAATAATGCCATTTATTTTTTTTAATTCTAATATTTTCTATTTTATTTTTGTACCGGCATTATTCAATCTTAGCCAATTTTTATCGAATTAACTTTTCTCTCGTGCGAATTAATCTTTTTTTTTTCATTTATTTCATTTTACACGGATTAATCTCGTCTCTCCGAAACAAAAATACTAAACTCCACCAAATTATTCTCACGCAACATTATTATACCTTTCATTTTGTTTAGAAACATATTCTGGACACCGACCCGCCACGATGACCTCTGGAATAGGTGTATCGGAAACATTTCTACACACGGTTCCAAGACTGAAATACATTTCGTCTTCTAGAGATTTCACGTTTATTTTCTTATCTTTTGTTTTTCTGTTTATATATACAGTTAATTGCAAGGCGTATTCCAGGGGCAATTCTAAATTAGGATACTATGTGGATTCCGATATTTTGTCATATCGATTTTGTAGCTCAAATTTGTTCCAGGAAAACACACTGCAATTTATTGTACGAACGCACGGGTGTGTGTGTGTGTGTGTGTGTGTGTGGAGGGGGGTGTGCGTGCGTCTGTGTGTGTGTGTGTGTGTAAAGAAGGAGAATCTAATGCCAAGGAAAAATCCGAATAAATTTCGTTCACTCTCCCCGGCTGTGCGTGTGGGCGTCAGTGGATGAGAGTGAAGGTGTTCGAGCACAACGAGAGTAATTACATACTACAATAACACGGGACAGTTCTTAGTAAAGAGAGAACACAACCAGGGAAGCGCCCTCATCCAATCATAAATTAGTCATGTGTGAGAATTAATCATCCCGGTAAATCGAAGTAAAACCAGAAAATAATAGAATATACTGCACGTGGTTGATAATATCCTTGTGTTTGTTATCGGGACGAGTTGCAGCCAAGATACGCTGGTCGGGTGAATCACTTATATTGTAGGACTCAGTCAGCAGGGACACCGATATGGGGAGAGTTAACCAATGTGAGATACTCGTAGGTGTAATAAAGCAGGATAGAAAGAATGATAAAATAAATAATACCCAAGAATAAAGCATGTGGTAATAAGTGGTATAAACCCCTATCCATTATAAGTGACATGGAGATGACCCCAAAAAGCGAGGGGAAAGATTTATATATTATACACAAGATCTACACCAAGAAACTCGACAAAACGTCATAAAATGCACAAAAGAAAAAAGAAGTCAACATCTTAAACTTTCCGGTAAACAAACAAGAGATATGAAGGACATGAGAAAAAAAATATATAAAAAATATATGACATGTTTAATAAAACTTGTACTCATGGTCGAGACAGAAGGAGTCCCCGCGGATGATGTCAAGAATAAAAATGATGACAAAGTTAGATCAAAGACATGGGTGGTGTGAGGGTGGTGAAGAGATGGCGAGGGAAGTGGCTGGTTGCTGAGGTGGTGAATTAGAGTTACTGACGAGGGAAAATGACTAACTCTCAACCTTTGGAGAGACAGAGAGAGAGAGAGAGAGAGAGGAGGTTATGATGATGGTATTGGTGGTGAAGGTGTGGATCCATTTTAAGGCACATTAACCCATAAAACACACACACACACACACACACACACACACACACACACACACACACACACACACACACACACCACTCACAAACATGATCAATTTTTATCTGTTTAACTCTCATCTTACCGAATATCATGAATTTAGACATACAGTACAGTGTGTCCGTCACTCCTATGAAGTTGACTGCCTGAGGATATTCACGGAAAAACGGGACTGATCTTAACCATTGGCAGAAAGGATGTGTGTGTGTGTGTGTGTGTGTGTGTGTGTGTGTGTGTGTGTGTGTGTGTGTGTGTGTATGTGTGTCCCCTATTTGATTGAGTACAACAGAAATCAAGAGCAAGACAAAGATTATAAAATACTCAAGTAATTTAAATATCTAGAGCAACCAAGTTAGTAGAACGATAGGAGCTTTAAATTATTACACATCTCTCCCCTTTGAGTCTAAATCCAATACCGTCCCAATTAGCTTGAGCTGGAACACTGGATGGGGGTGTGGGGGGATAGGAGGGTGGGGGGATGGGGGGGGAGTTCATTACGCTCTCTTCATGACAGTGGCTTTGAACACACGAGTACATGGCTTCGTATCAGTGATCTCTCTCTTCTTTCTCTAAATCTGCAAAGTCTGGCACACGCTAACATCCATGTACTCTGTGGTTTCCAAGTTTAAATATTTTCTTAGTTGATGGAAATGCCAAATAATTTTAGCTTGTCTCGTTTTTAATCGTTGTTCCGATTATAATGTTGATATATCATGTTTTTTCTTCATATTTTACTTTCATTTTATATACCAAGACGAGCAGTAGTTTTCATCTACCCAACTTGTGTGTTTATTAATGCAAGTATTCAATTGTGTAGCAACTTATAAGGGAGAATGGAACCCCAAAATGCTTTTAATAGATTATATCATGCCCGTGATGACCATTTATTATAACCAAACAGGATTTTTTTTTATTAATATATACTTTTTTGCAGGACCGATATGTTTAAATATACTTAGAAAAAATTGAACATGACATGAAATTAGACCTTGAATATATTTAAGCTATAAATAAAACAGACACTTTGAGTACCAATGCTACAGGCTATTCAAATGAACTCAAAGGGCAAACGTTATATGGAGAGTGAATCAAAAGTCCAACATCACAGGATTATTTAGTTTTCAATTTTACTATAATAGATAATAATTTTAACTGCGAACTTAACCTAACCTAACCTAACCTAACCTTTAACTAAAAAATCAGACACACATTTTGAACTTTCGGTTTCGCTGAACGTTTCTTTACATATAAACACCGATTTAGAAGAAAATAATTCTGATTGAAGTCTTTAGATTTTAATAGTGTGTGGCCTCATGTCATGAAACAATAATTAAGGGCGTTAAATGTTAATAAACGTTGAACGAAATCTACGATAATTAATTAATATGAGTGCGTGTTTGTCAGATACTCGTAGTTTGAACAGTAAATAAAAAAAAATCCCTTGATTCCGGGTTGTTCTGTGTAAGGCCAGACCTTTGATAAATTCCCATAAATATTACATAAAGTATCTAAAGAGTATATATGGTTTTGACAAAATATATATAATTAATAATAAGACATAACACAGAAAACGAAAAAAAAGAACAATTGCCAGAAAAAGTCACATGAACTTAAGAAAAAGATATATAAGCAAGAACACAATACAGAATGCCTAAAGAAGCTAAAGCAATAGTAACAAGACAACAAATAAAAGACGAAACAACAAAAAGCAACACAGAATTAAAACGGGTAATAACTACTGACGATTACGACAAAATACAAGAAAAAAAAAAAAAAACAAAAAACAAAACCCCAAAAAAATCTATATATATATATATATATATATATATATATATATATATATATATATAATATATATATATATATATATATATATATTTATATATATATATGCAAGTAAATCACTGTAGGTGCGCGTGATCTAGGTATATGCTGATAACCACAAGGAAAGAAGAAAACACGAAGTTCCCATGCGCTTTCGTGTAATTCACATCTTCAGGGGTGAGTACAGACTAAAGAGAAATACAAACCAAGGTGTATATATACAGAAGAGGGTGAGACCAGGTCCATAATGGTCAGGTAATAGGTAATGACCCTACTAATCTTTAAATAGCACACAACGGTTGGTGGTCAGGTCAGAGGGTAAGGTGACCCGACCTTCTCACCTGGTTACAAATCTTCTTAATTACAAAATTGTCCAGTTTGTACAGGCCATTACTCAAATTCACGTTGAATGCTTCGGTATGTTTAATAAGACTAGATTCTATGATGTTCCTACTATCAATTGAATTACAAGGTAATATTGAGGAGGCATTATCCCAGTCAATGCAATGCTTGTTATCCCTCAAATGAACAAACAGAGCATTGGATTCCTGGCCTGTCCTAACAATGTATTTGTGTTGTTTAATTCTAGTTGCAAGATCTTTACCTGTCTGGCCTAAGTAAAACATATTACATTCCTTGCAAGGAAGTTTATAAATGCAACCAATTGTATTGTTGGGGGAGTTCTTGATTAACATATATATATATATATATATATATATATATATATATATATATATATATATATATATATATATATATATATATATATATACAAGAGCAACACAAAAACGAACTCGCAACACAAACTGTACAACATTCAAGCACAAACACAAACAATACAAGAAGGAGGAAGTTGCCACCACCATTGCAGTGTTACCAACTAACCATGAGAACGTTGAAGGGTAACCAGCATAGAGTATACACCAAGACCACGGCCACCATCATCTTGATCATCTGTGGAAGTTGATAGAAAGGAAAAAACTAATTACCATCCCACTTACTGATTATGGAATCGTTATAACAAGAGTGTTTCGACTGTAATTTGAGGAAGATGAAGGATAGAGAGGTGAATGGGGTGTAAATCTAAATACTATTGATTTTATTGGTAATTTTATTATTATTTTATTATCTTTTGTTTAATGAAGTGGCTGTTTAGGTGAGCTGTGTTATACCATGGGATAGTCTACTAATATTACATAACCCTGACCTAATATAATGTAACCTAGCCTATGTAACCTAACCTAACCTAACCTAACCTAACCTAACCTAACCTAACCTAGAGTGGGGCCACTTAAAGGAACGTAACAACATAGCATAGAGCGATGGGATTATGATTAAAACCTTAATAGGTTATGAATGGACACTGATTACATACTGTTTCCTTAATGAGATTTCGAAATCCGAAACCAAAGGAGTGACGATCCAGGAATGATAATCCCACTACCACCTCAGCAATTAGGGGTTTATCTTCACTACCAACTAATTTAGACCGTTCAGCAGTTGTAATTAGCCATTAGGTTACAGAATTCTGAACGTAGAGTAGTTATGAGTTGTGGTGAGTAAATAAGGGAATAGGGTTGTAACGCTATGAATAGAAGTACTGAGGAGTTGTATATCTATGTTACGAGGTTCTGAAAGTATGGAACAGTGTTTATACAGATCTGAACTGAGACAGGAAGCGACTGTGGCTTTCAAAGACGGAATCCCAGTGTTGTAAGTGCCTTGCCTCTGAATGGTCTGTATTGGAAGCCACGCCAGCAACTGTCCTTACAACATTTTCCCACGAGTCCGCCTTTGGTCGTCGTTCAACAAGGATGAATTAAATGTCGAAGTGTTTTTGGTCTGTTTCCTCTCTCTCTCTCTCTCTCTCTCTCTCTCTCTCTCTCTCTCTCTCCAAATAGGTATAATTTTTTTTCATTGCCACAAAATAACGGAAATTATTTTAAATATGGTAAGACTTGTTCTGTTTCATTTAAGACGTTGCTTACCATCATATATATATATATATATATATATATATATATATATATATATATATATATATATATATATATATATATATATATATATATATATATATATTTCATTAGCCCAATAAAGCACGCGGGCTTCTACATACAATCAACACCTCAACCCGCCAGGATTCGAACCCACGGCCCACGAGCCCATGACTGTGACCGGGGATCGAGGTAATTAGGTCAACTATTAACACATTTAGGAAAACAATCAGTAATTACTATTCTCATATTACTGCCAGTATCTGATCCGCTGATTCACAGATAAATGAATAAACAAAATTGGTTCCCTGGTCTTGGCTACTTAAGGTTTTATTAATTCCGTGGGTCTTGGATTATTAATCTATTGTTTCACTGAATATATATATATATATATATATATATATATATATATATATATATATATATATATATATATATATATATATATATATATATATATATATATATATATATATATTGGTTAATTAAGTCTTCGGATCGATTATACTTAGACCATTAAAAGTCTGATTAAGTCTTGGATAACTAAGACTTTAAGGTCACTAAATCTTTCATGATTAAACTGTTCGGTTCATCACCCCAGCGAACGTCAGATTTTGGTCTAGTTTCCTAGGGTGATCGTCGCTCTTGGCTCCTGGGACACTGTGAGCGGTGGTGACCCTGGTGCGCAAGACTCTGCCTGAAACTGGAGTATTGATCCATGTTTTCTATGAGTGTGTGTGTGGGGGTTCTGTCGTGTGCGTGGGTGTTGTGTGTGTATGCGTGGGTGTTGTGTGTGTATGCTCTGGGTGCTGTGCGTGTGCGTGGGTGCTGTGTGTAAGTGTGTGTATGAATCTGCTTCTGCGCGTATGAGTATGCTTGGGGGTTCTGAGCGTGTATGTGTGTTTCTATACTCGTGTGTGGGTGTTGTGCGTGCTCAAGCCGCTCTGCTTCTTAGTGTCTACTGGTGTGAATGATATTTTCGTCTGTGTGCAGGCACGCGCGTGTGTGTAATAATAATAATAATAAACGGTTTATTAATAGAGTTGCAGCCGGTGGCTGAAAATATACAGACTTACATTTGATTTAGACATAATGATATAATATGTGTTGAATACATTTACCGGGCTGTACAGTACATAAATCAGAAGTTGTTTATTATTTTAACAATAGATGGGATAGGATGGTGTGTGTGTGTGTGTGTGTGTGTGTGTGTGTGTTTAAAGATGAATGCTCCTTCATATGGAAAAAAGTACCTACTTGTAATTAATATCGACTAAAAATATCTCATCCAAAATTATATTCCAATATAGGGAAGCATTTTAGCGTTACTTGTCACGGTTCATCATGATAGTCTAGACAATATTGTGAAATTTTTACAAGAGGAGGTAATTTTTAGTACGAAGTTTCCAACAGTAACTAAAATTTAGGCCTTCATCTCCAAATTAAGAAAAGTGATGTTGGCATTTTCCTAAAAATGTTATTACTACGTGTCACTTAACTAATTATGCTAGTTTAAATTTTTTTACAGATATTTTCAGATGACTCAACCATTTATTTTTATTTTAACTAAATATATAATTTTTTAAACATATATTATAATGTATTATATGTATGATTACCAACACCACTCATCACCTGACCCAACAAAACACACTCGCACACAAACGGCAGTACTCCACAACCCAACTTTGGTACACCTGCACTGTCGACCTCAACACCTGTCATTCCTGTGTGCGTCTACATATTGTCAAATGTAAATACTGTAGTTTGCAGGTGAACATTCTTGAACCATCAATATAGAGACCAGTTCATCATTTTCCTTTTTCCAGTCACTGAGAAGAGGAGTGGGTAAGTTTGCCTGAGTCACAAGTGCTCTGTGCCACACAAAATCCTGGTAATGGACCCAGCGTATGTACAGCTGCAGTGAATCGTGAGTTGGTGGAACACATCCATGCGATTTTCTTGGTGTTCTGAATAGAAAATATCGTAAAATTTGAATGCTTGTGATGAGAGTTTTATGATCATAACTTGAAGACAAAGCTTTCTGCATTGGACATATCTTTCTCACTATTCGTTTGATACGTTCATGAAGTTTGGATCAATCGTTGCTGATTTTTCCTCAAAAGAAGTCTGCAGGTTGTTGCAATGCAATATCCGAGTCAGTGAGGTCAAGAGATTCTAATGGAATCCTTACATTAGCAGATGTAAAGTTTACATACACCGATCATTCCTCAGCACAGGAGTTTGGCCAAACAAACACCAACGATTGTGATGCATGGGAAGTATTCTTTCCAACAAGCGTCTTTTCGTTTATGCCAATTTCATAATTGACAAATCTGATAGACCCAGAAAGCTTCAGCTAGACGATGTTAGAAGGGATGAAAATATTCCCATTTGACTCATATTCGTTCAGTGTTGCAGACGAAAGGGAATTGTCGACATGAACACAGAGTCGTAGCTGACTGAATGTCCAGCGGCAAGTGAAAGTTGGTCCTAGCTTTACCTGGTGAACAGTCATAAGAGAAACGAGATGCATTGGGCTCTATTGTTATTCTTATCTGTTTTTAAAGGAAATAGTTAATGAATGACGTGCATTGAATTAAATAAAAGATCCTCTAATAGACGGTTCACTGATTTCACAACAACTTTGAGACATTGTTAAAGTAGTGCCACTTATTACGAAAGTTCACATTTTTGTCATGATCATTACATAAGCTCTAGCAGGTACGTAGCAGTCTCAGACCCACTCCAGAAAGACATTGAAATCATTTTACAGTCTCAACGTCTCTCAGTGGTACAGGAGTGCGTGGAATACCAGAATTTCTGTGTCCGGACATTCAATTATTTCTATCTAAAGTTGGAGTGGCGAGAATGGAGAAGTTGAATCTTAAGTTGAGTGGTACAGCTCCGAGGTACACTTAATACAACGGTACACTGAAGTAGAGCGGTTGGCGAGGATGATACAAGACAGCTGAGCAGCACAGGAGAGTGATGAATATGATCAGTACAGCTGTAGGGAAATACAAATGTTTCCTTATATTTTATGTAATGATTACCTGTGCTTTCTGCAAATTATTACTCGAGGTCCCAAATTTATTATTATAGGAGACATGACTATCAGCAACTGCTTTCTGTATCATGCCTTGTTATGTCTTGTAGTGTGGGAGAGATATATTAGTCAGTGTCTGTGTGTCTGTCTGTCCGTAAATAATCGACTTTTTCTGAGTTATGGTGTTCATTACTTCATACAACCACATGTGAGTGGATGGTGCGCAAATAATCAGAGGATTCCTGCGAGACATTCGGTTTAAGGTAACAAATACACGACACGACTGTAGTTCTCATGAAGTCATGGATATATGAAAATCAAAGACCTTTAAAAATGGGTTAAGACTATACAACAGTTCCAATTGCATATAAATACAAAAGTAAAGGGGTTTAGTACCCACGGAGGCGATGTAGTATACAGCAAAAACTAAACAAGATTGACCAAGGGGAAACGTTTAACACATTCGCTTTTCTTTTGAATTTCATCCCTGAGGCCCAGCCACCTACAGGTGTAGCCTCCTGCGGCCTTTCTTTCCGAGTCCTGAATAGAGGTGTCTGTGTACCCAAGACCAGGTTCCCAGTGTTATGAAGAATAACGCCTGTATTATTAAACAACATCTTCCCTTGAAGAAGGTCGTCGTGTTTCAACCCGAGGTTTAAACTAAATGAGTCCTGAGGGACACCGCAGTACAGTACTTAACGGGGTGGTGTGGCGGTAAAATGAACTAATTCCAATAAAATTAATATATAATATTGGAATTAGTTAATTTTACCGCCACACCACCCCGTTAAGTACTGTACTGAGGTGTCCACAGGACTCATTTAGTTTAAACCTCGGGTTGAAACACGACGACCTTCTCCAAGGGAAGATGTTGTTTAATAATACGGGCGTAAGTATTTTACATCAAC